AGAAAAAGACACAGGATATTTGGATTATGATTCCTAATATAGTTAACTAAGTGACTCTAGTAGCTTGCTTTTTTTCTCCCTTTTAATATCTCCATTACCTCATCGCGGCTTATTAAGACGGACGATGGCTTTTCTTTAAATATCAGATCTATAATACTCTCTAGATTGCCAGAATGTTCCTTTCTTAACTGCTGTAACTTCCAACTACCAAGACAAAGCCCTATAGCAGATAATATTTAATTCCTATAATATAATTAATATATATTAAAAGTGCCCTAAGGGGTCTCCGGAAGATTAATATCCTTATATATAAGTTATCCCCAGATCTGCTGTATACACTCTTTCAACAATATTAGAATATCTGGAGAACTAATATTAATAGCAAGCTGTATTAGCTTACTTATACATATAATACCTATAGGCATATGATTTTTTTTAGTTGTATGTATTACTACATCGCGGATTCTATCCCAGAGTCTGGATTTATACTTATAGCAAAACCCGAAGTTCGTTTAAAATATCTCAACAGACATTGTAGTGTCTTCCTTAGATATAGGTAATATCCCAAATATACCCGCTTAAAGTAATCTATTAGTACTCTATACTGCTTTAAAATTGTGCAGAACCTTGCAGGCAAGATTAAGATAATAGCTAGAAGGCACCGACTTATTAGCGTCCGCCCAGTCCACTCGCCGGCAGGTAATCCAGATTAACCCAGATATATTACATACTAATTTAACTACCTGATTTTGAAAATTCCACTCCGCATTTGTTCGTCCTTCCTGTTGTAAGATATGGGTGGTGTGCATCCTAATCTGTATATATAAATTACAGATATTATATTTATTAGCAAGTATACTTTCTTAATATAGATAATAAATTATCTTACCAGATCTTTGCTGTATTTTAATAAGGGAGCAATCTTTGTCTTTTTTACTTATTAATAAGAGATGTTGTGGGCACTATTAGAGCTTCTGAAAATTAGTTAATCTACTGATTTATATATCTAATATAGTATTGACTGCAGTGAGCTTGTGTATAAAGTATTTTAAAATAGCTGCTCCAGCTGTTTAATCACCAGTTGTAAGTTCTTTTAGTAAGTATTAAATAAAGCGCCTATCATAACTCGCCCACAAGTATTAGAACTGGGAAGACGGAGAGATTGTTTCTATTAACTAACAGTCAAGACCCCTTTTCTCCGGGTTTAAAATAAAGTCTTCTAGATTTCTTACCAACATAGCCGACGTAGGAGGGCTAGAAACAGAATAATTAAAAGAAAATATATTACTTAAAGCAGCAGGATTAAGAATAGAACTGTGTAGTGATAATAGCATATAAAAAGGTATAGAGACATGGGACTTATTACTAAATAGTATTCTATATCTTTCTTAAGCCTTATAATAATTTAGTACTAAATTTAGCTCGGCTAGCAAGTCGTTCCAAATATTAATCTTAAAAGACACTTACAGCTGTAAGTAGAAATTTATTACAGTATTTAACTAAGATATAAATAAAATATTGTTAGTTAATACGGATGAATCACAAATTGTCCTATGGGTTGTTAAATCTTTGATATTAGAAACTATAGCCAATAGAGTTTCTAAGCTCTCCCTATACTAAGCTTTAAAATTCTAAAGGGCGGGAGACAAAGTATCACCTGGTATATAATCTGGCAGAAGTTCTGTTAGAAAGATTACTGTAAGGTTGTTCTTAGAAATAACAATATCTATTAAATCTGTTCCCAAAGGACTGGGCTGTAGATTTCCTACTTAGACTAAAGAACTAACAAGGTCAACTGCTGTTTTGTAGATCATATATTTGTTTAAAGTAACAGGTAACTGCAATAGAGAGATTCTAGTAATTTAGTATTCCAGGATTGTATGGTATAATGCCTACTGATTATTATAAGTAGGCCGTAGTATGCTTGTAATATATTATATAATCTGTTGCAGTAGTATTAGACTTTACTTGCCAGACTCTGATTACTGTAGTATAGGATAGAGTATTTTAATTAACTTAAGCTTCCAATCACAAGTGCCTTAGTATAATATTACTTATAGGAACTTATGACTCTTACTAAAGCCCCCGTTATATTTTCTTAAGTCCCTCTACTTTTTTATAGTTTATCTAAAGCTCGGCTCAGTACCCTCTGGCAAATATTAGTACTAAAACATAAGCTATTACAGCAGTATAGACTAACTGTTTTGTCTTTAATATTCTGCTTAAGTTCGGCCTGTATAGTAGAAGAGTATAAACAGTATGACCTACATATCAGCAGGTGAAACTAGACCCCTAATATTCTGCTTCTGAGATTAGGCCAATAATGGTCTTAAAAGAAACAAAAGCTTAATAGTTGAGATAAAGAAATAAATAGACAGGGGTTGCTAACTAGGGGCATACACTAAGTAATATAGTATATAAAGCATCCCTGTTAAGTAAGTCCTAACAGCCCGGTTTATTACATCTATTATTCTTACCTCTGGGCTTTGCCTCTACTTTTTACAGCAGGTAAACAAGGCCTTTTAAACTTGTGATAATGCTCTTAGGAAATACTCAATTCAAAGTAGTCCAGAATCAGTAATTAACTATTTACCGAGATGCTGGGAAAGGCAAAAATTCGGGGGCAAGAAAAAAAAAAGTAACTAAAAGCAGAGGACAGGGGCGGATATATTTCAGTATAAATCAAACAATTTCTACTGTAAGAGGACCAGAGCTTTCATAAATAGTAAACACAGTTTATAATATATATAATATAGGATATGGATTCAAGGAGACACAAATTGGTAAGCTGCTATATATATTTATATTATTATATTAACAGTAAACTAGTTGTTAGGCATGAGTTGTACAGTAAAGCCCCAGATACAAGATACTAATAATACATATATTACAGAGTAATTATATATTTATTGGGCGGAAAACCAGCATCTTCGCAATCATATTCACCTCCTCCAGGCCCAGCTCAAAAGCAGCCACGGGGAATTAGTGAAATACCATCAAAGCTATACAATAAAATATTAAGAATACAGGTAAGTAGTTTCTGAACTGGCACAGCTGCGAGAGCAATTTAAACAGCTTAACAGAATATTATCTAATAAACAGCATAATTTGCAGGGTCCTGTTCCGGTCTTTCTAAAACTCAAAGTAAAAGATAGATTGGTACAGTAAGCTGAGATTAAGATTAGCCAACAAGCAACAGCCCTAAAAGTGGCTTGCCAGGGTTTGCAAAACAAATTTTACAAAATAATAGCTAATATCATAGGAAATAGTACAGGGACCTTGGGATTTTGTACTAATTGAAGCCTCTTTAGATCAAGGACCTAGAAGGATTAGGTGTCAGAGAAATCAGGCTTCTCAATATAAGGAATAGGACACCAAAGATTTCCCCATACAATTATTATTAGATGTTATATTGAAGTTAAATACTGGTAATTTGTACTAAAGTCACATTTATATTTCTTAAGAATCAAGTCCAAGAATACGAAAACTTGCGGCCTGGTGCTGCCTAGATAAACCGGACTCACTTCTTATAGCTAGACCATTGCGAGCCCGGCGCAGCTTTTCTATAAATCTGCAAATCACAAGCTTTATATTTACTGCGCGCGGGAAACTTTGCCAACCTCAAACATCCAATTAGATTAAGACCCAGATGTTGGATAATGTGGCGTAAAGATAAGAACAAACCGCCAAAAAATCACACTTAATTTCCACTAAGATTAAAAGATAGGATAATATTACTATCTAAACTATTAAGTATAAATCTGATTGGCATATAATATCTGGTACAGCTAGTACAGATTGCATTATTAAACAGTAAGGCGTTGAGCTGTGATTTGCTAAAAAAATATACAGAGGCCTTTGGATATAATTAGCTAAAGGTTTTAATCTACTGTTTACCCTGCAGTCAGCATTTAATAATCCTATGGCAATAATAACGCCCATCTACTAATTAAGGTAGCGAAGATAGCTTAAAAAACAGACAGATAATTAAAAAAAAGGTTAATATATTTAGTATATAATCTTTTGCTGAATTATCTGCCAGTCTTTGTATCCACTCTACTTAAGTAACCGCATTCAGCAGAGGCTCTCGGTTGGGAAATATCATATTTAAACAGAAGTAATTGCGCCTGTCTAATTAATCTAATTGGCTGAGTAGATTATTCTATGCCTGTTCTGTATCTATTAATACTAAAAAAAAGTCATAGAGGCGAAAGGCAAAACTGCGTGGTTGTGACCGGTATAGCTGACCTGTAGTCTTACCTATGCCAAGCAATACTAATGTACCTGGAACCGGGCTAGATACCTATATTAGCTGTGTCTCAGCCCGGTAAATTAAGGCCGGATTGTTATGCTTAAGTCCTCCATTCTCACAAATCCCGACTCCCGGAATAGAGATGGGCGGAAAAAATCTGGCTTTGATTAGCTGTATCTAGTGGTGGCTGAATAAGAGACTTATATTAGCGCAGTACTGGTCGCCCTTGCACTGTAGTTAAAAGTCAAATTCTATAAAAAATAGATGTTAGAGAGATCTAGACTTACCACTGCCATAATTGCGGCTCAGACTTTCTGTCTGGCGTTTTATAGATATAATAATGGCCTACCGATAATTTATTAGCAATAAGCTTTTATTCACCTATATTATTAACTTACTGTTTTTAAGGGAGTTCTCTGTCATATATTAATAATTAGTCAGCAATATTGGGCGCTCTGCTATAATGGTTACAGCTAGTTTAATTCCTAAAACTGGCTGTATGTTAAAAAAGCAGTTGTTGCTTCCAAACTCTTTTTATAATAGCTTATTCTAAAAATTTGTGTTATACCAACCATCTAACTACTAACAACAAATAGATTGTATGAGCTTGCTTTATATAGTCTGAGAAGAAGGATGGTTTGCGAAGAACTAAATCATAAGATTATTTAATTTCTTCTTACACTTACTTACGGGTTGGTGTTGATAAAATACTTTTAGCACAACAAGACCGCCTGAACACACTAGTCAGCTAGTAAAAACTAGGGAAACTTGGATATTTACCAGCACTTATTCCGAAGGCAATATTAAATAGGTCTTGCACAGGGCATGCAGAGCCTAGAATTTCCTGTATTTTAGCTAAAAAATACAGCAGTATGATTCCCCGTATATCTTTTCTGTTAATAGTTAACACTTAAACAGACACGGTGGGAGGTATAATTCTAACCAGACTATATCTAGATATCTAACAGAGAATACAGTAGCTAATTATAAATTCATACTCTACTTTTTAGACTGGATAGCTGTACTATGCTGTATAAGTATTATAAATTGTATGTCTGTATAACAGTATATGCTGCAGTGGATACATCAGACATGCTAAATAAATATAGCTGCTTTCTAAATCCTGCAAAAGCTTTTTTCTATATGCTAAGTTTGCTTGATAAATTCGACGCGGGGGGCCTTGTCCATAGAGAAGCTTTTTATAAAATTGTAAAAGTTAATATTTAATTGTCTAACAGCTTACAGAAAGTTCTGCTGAGATTAGAGCCTGCTAATATATTCTGTAATATAAAGTATTAAATACTGCTGCCGGGCTGAAGTCTATTTAATTTAGTCTTGTCTTAGGTGCTCAGTACTTCTTTACTTACTATACAATCTAGGAGGATAAGCATCGACTAAAAGTGCAGATGTAATAATAGCTACTTAAGCTTTAGTAGTCCACCCTCTGTTCTTTGTAAGAATTAGAAAGTTGTGTAGATAATAGCTATGAGACTGACTTAGTTCAGGTCTGCCCTTGTTAATCTGAATAAAATCTAGAGGAAGCTGCGGTGCCTGACTGGTATAGTATAGAGAGGACTTAAAGAAAGTGGCTATATATATTATAGAAAAAAGGTAGCTATCTTCTCACCTATCTCAGCAACTGAAATCGGTCAATTTAAATAAATCATCTTTTAAGGAACAATATTATGAAATATTTGATAGCAGTCTTTCTGATAGGCGATAGAAAACAGGTGTTGTAAAAACGTTACTAATATTGCGGTCTTGTATTAAGGAAAAGAGGAAATCACTTTTATTTAGGAGCTTATAGGTTATACTCCCAGTTTCTAGTTCTAAGACAATTAAAATATGTGGACGGTAGTCTAAACTTGATATATTACAGCCTACTAATGCCCATTTTGTTAGTAATACTTATACAGTATTAAAGCCACCAATATCATCAGCAAAAATACAGATCATATCTGTAAACAAAAAGACAGTCTGATTTAGAAGGATATTAAAGCCTCTATGGCGACTAATAATATTTGGTAAAAGTTGTATATTCTTACAGTTGTTAAAGTCGCATCTTATATTTTAAAGCTTGAGATTTAAGTTAAAATAAGAAAAAAGTATTGGATGCTCAGTAAATATAGTTCGGCTATCTACATCTAATTAAAGGTATGGTTGTCTGGATAAGATTGTATTATTAGGAAACAGGGCACGCAGGGCGGTATCTTTGTATTTATTGCCTAGAAAAACTATTATTAATAGTAATTAAGTCTGCAGTAAAGCAAGCTGTTGTAAGATGTGTTGCAAGCGTTCTGTATTATAAATATATAATCCTTCCGCCTGTTCTGCCAGATAAAGCTAATTAGAGCTCTGGCGATTAGTTATTTTGATCTAAAGAGCATATTGGACCTGATCCTTACTCCTACCATCGCGTCTGCTTTTATATGCTGTGATGGTGGCTAGTAGCATGCAGTCGCTTGCTTACGAATTTGACCACGCTGATCAGCAACGTCTAACAGCACTAGCACAGTCCTTTCCGATCTATACAAATCGTCATAATAAGTTTATAAACTTAGCGATTACTGGTAGATGTGCCTTTTACTACAAATAGAGATTGAAAACTGGATGATAGAACTCTGCTTTAGCTACCCCGCTCATATCAGGTAAAATCAGAATTTAACTTTTCTAGAATATGTAGAAATTCACAATGAAATATGCAGCAGCTTTGTTCGGGTACAAAACATTAGGGTAGAAATATTAATTATAAGTTTTTATTTCTCAAACGGACCTTGCTCAGTTCGCTGTGTATATAGCCGATTATTCTGATAATATATATTAGATATAACTGAAAGCTTATAGAAAAGGTCTCAGATGCTATTAAAAAGGATTTTTTTAATCTTTATAGTGTTTTCTAGGTGCGCTATCTGTGCCTGTAAAGTCTTACATTCTCTCTTTAAAGCCCTGAGTCTGGCTTTGTTACCCTCTCTATCAAAGCTTATTGGCACTGGGCCCCGATCCATAGACAATATTATTTGCATTATGTGTTGACAGAGTTGCTGTATAGCCTGTGTGGCCAGTCTGAACTCATAAACTAAATTAAGAATTAGTGGTGAAGTAGTTATATCTTTCAAGCAGCCATAAAGATCGCATGCACCCTATGGTCTTTAGAAACTCAGAATACAGCTTGATTTAAATCGACTTATATTAGTAGTAGTAGATATTGACGTGTCAAACTCCGTCTTGGTATCTATTATACGCTTTGTGACTCAAGGAATAAGAATGAACAAAAGCAATACTTTCACACAGAAACACCGTCGTGGGCATTTATTTATACGGTGGCCTCTAAACTATTGTAGAATGCATTGTGTATTTATACTAAGCAAACCACCTAGCTTCAGTACAACGAAATCTTATCGTCTTGCTACAGTCAATATCAGTATATTCTAAAAACACTTTCCCGGTTTATCATTCAGCAGTCCCTGCTAGAAGTCAAGATCTAAGCCAGACTAGCAAGGCTACCTCTTTGAGAAATAATAAAGTCTTTCTAAAATTCTAGAAACTGCAGCCCTTCTGTCTATTCTTGCCTTTTAAGATCCCCCTCTCCGAGCCGTCCCTGTATACTAAGTTTATTTGAATGTTTTTTGACACTGCAAGGAGGTCGAAGCTCTGCGGTAGATATTTTACCATCTAATCTTTAATAAATAAAAGCCAAACATCTGACGGAGACTGAGGAGTATTAGAGAGCTATTTTTAATACCTCTTACCTAAAGGCTGAGAATAAATAGCTTTGTTAATCATAAAAGTCGGCTGTAGAACTGTATAAAGGCACTGTACTTTCAGTAACCGAATTGCTTGCTCTAAGTACAAACAGTATTTATAGTTTTTTTGCCTATTTTTATATTGGATTTGCAGCAGTAGAACAGATGATCTAATTGTATAAAAACCCAGCAGCTGTTGATGTTGAAACTACACTGCAAAAGTTAATTCCTATGTTTAAGAAATATTAAAAAGGGTTGGACGGTATTAGGACTGCTTTGATAGCCTTAGAGAATGGAGGCCAAAAATATTTAAATCATATTTAGAAGTCTAACAAATACTATACAGGGTTTTTTGGTATAAGCTATAATAAGCTGAACACACTAGAATCCGGTGCAAGAGCCCGGAGGACTTAATAATATATAACCTTAGTTTTTATTACTGAAAAAACCCTGTAGAAAGAAAAAGTGACTTGCTTAGCTAATAAACCTATCTAATCAATTTGATTTACTTTATGAGTAGAAGAGATTTGTGGCGAGAGCCATAGTTCAAAACAAGGCTGTAGAAATTAAGATTTAGATGCACATCTGAGGAATCTATACTGCAAGTTTTTAAGCAATTCTTTAATTCCTTTCTTTTATCTAAGATGGATATTTACCTAAAGTAAAGCTAATGCAGGCTGTCCACTACATAGATCGCACAAAAAGCTTTCTAATATAGTACTGTGTTCTATTTTAGAGGAATTGATAAGTTGTTCGGCGATTAAACCCAAAGTCTTAATATTATTAATATATATCTGGGTATTGTAGAGTAGGCAATCTCCAATCATTACTACCTGAAAGTATTAGTAAGGTATGCTTTGCTTAAAGGTAGGTTCCTCACCTAATTTAACAGTACCTGTCCAGTGCAAGTAAATGGAGTCGAGGGATAGCTTCCTATATAAGATCTTTAAAGTATTATATATAAACTTTAAGGCATACAGCATACTACAGCAAACAGTAACTGTGTGGAAGGTGCTCTAAAAAGGCTGGAAACCAAAAATATCTTATAAAAATATAATTGTTATTTTGTATATCATAGATATCAATATTTCGTCTTGGTAAGTATGATGTAGTTGCACAAGATTGCAGTGAATTACTGGTCTAAACTATAAAAAGAAAATCATTCTATCAATCGCATATTTCTGGATAAGAACAAAAGAATAAGAATATGATTTCTTGTAAGCAAGATAGGAGTTGGTTTAAAAAAATAATATAAGCATATAATAGTTCCAGATATTAATCCCCATCTGCTTAAATATAATATCACCAGGCAATGCAGAGCTAAAAGGGTGGATGTGTAGAATAACTTTTGCTGGCTTTATTAGAGTCCGGTTATTAATTTATACTCTTAAAGATCTTTTACCACTAGAAATATAAGATATTATAGTTATGCCTTAAGCAAAAAGAATGTGGCACGGAGGTCTTCGTACTAAACAACTTCATATAAAACCTATATATAAATATAATGATTAACAAAATCAAACCTGGCAGAGCGGAAGACGGCATGCATTGATTTGTTATAGGCAGTAGCTTAAATAATTTTATTTATTAGATCACTCCCAGGTTCCCAATACTACTTCTTGACTGTCAGTATTGTAATTCGTGTAGACAGAATTAGAGCAGTGAGGGCTGTACAGAGCGGCATCGCTGGAATTTTCCTTCATTGGAAAAAATAACAAACTTAATGCTAGCTCGTAGGTTCCAGCGAGCCAAAGGAAAAGACTTTGCACTTAACCTTATCTAATTGCCTGACGTCATGCTGAGAATTTAAGCTGCATACCTGGGTATCAGAGGCTTGTTGGACGCTGTTTGAGGTAGTGCCAAGAAATGTACCCGTGGGTATACCCACGGGGTATGCCCACCTGGGTATTAGAGGCTTGTTGGACGCTGCTTGAGGTAATGCCAAGA